TTAGTCCTCAAGTTCTTGCTTTCCTGTTAGTTATATTATACCTTTCTATTTGTATTTCTTCTTTTGAGTTCTTATACTAGGGAAACTATACAATATTTACCCATGTGTGTCTGGTTTATTTCACTTATATCTTCAAGTGGCATCCACTTCAATACAAGGGCTTTGAATTTATCATTCTTTATAGCTGAATAATACTCCATTGTATAAAAATACCACAGCTTTTTCATCCATTCCTCAGGTGACGGGCATCTTGGTTGTTTCCAAGATTTGGCTATCACAAACTGTGCTGTTATAAACATAGGAACACACATATCACTATGATATGATGTTTTCAAATCCTCCGGGAAAATTCCCAGTAGAGGAATAGCTGGTTTAAATGGTATTTCCAGTCCAAGTTTTCTAAGGAGTCTCCACACTGATTTCCATAATGGTTGCACCAGTCTACATTCCCACCAGCAGTAAAGAAGGGTTTCCTCTTCCCCATAGCCTCTCCCAACATTTGTTATTGGTTGATCTCTTTACAATAGCCATTCTTTCTGGAGTGAGATAGTATCTCAGTGTTGTTTTAATTTGCATTTCACAGATGGCTAGTGATGTGGAGCATTTTTTCATATATTTATTTGCTTCTTTAATTTCATGCTCTGAGAAGTGTGTGTTCATCTCAGATGCCTATTTCTGGACTGGGTCTTTAAATTTTGGGGCCCTAGTGTTTTTTAGTTCTTTATAAATCCTAGACAGCAGACCTTTGTCTGAGTACTTATTTGTCATGATTTTTTCCAAATTTGTGGGTTGACTTTTCAAGGTCAATTAAGTCTCAGGACATATGAGAACTTGTACTGTAACGTCATGTAACTCAGTAGTGTCCCAAATTTTCTGATCAAGGAGATTATGGAGCCAAAGAGGAAAGTGATCGATGATGTAGAGTGTGCCTAAGGAGAGTCACATGGAAAAAAAAAAACATTTTCTCAGGCTTTTACAGAGAGCACACTGGCCTAACAACGGCCATGACTCATCAACATGACTGACACTGGCAAAGGTTCTACAATCAGAGGTACAGGATCTCAGGATAAATCCTGAGCAGATTTCACTGACCTTATCAGATCCAAAAGCTACAACTCTTGTTGCATAGGGCTTGCTTTATCTTGGTCTTAACCATCCAGCAGAAAAATATAAAAATGAAGTATAAGAAGTAAAGCCATGGTGTTATGTTGAGCTGTAGGGGACTCTATCAACAATTTCTGACATTGCCAGTCAAGCAGAAGACCCAGTACTATTATGGACTACTGGACTCTTTTAGAATATTTTGCTGAGTTAACACACCTGTAATATTCAAATGACGGAACTAAACAAAAAAGAGGATACAGATGAATGTCCATTTTGTATCTGGGTATTGAAAATGGTTAGGATAGATATATAGTTACATTCTCTTAATGAATAGAGGAATTTGTTTTAATAGTGTTTGTAAATAGGATACATGTCCGCATCCTGTACAGCAAATAACCCATAGGAAGAGGGTATGTAATGTGTTAATTATTGAAACTGTCTTATCAATTTGATTTGAAACTGTCTCATTGTTATTTGTTTCTCAATAAAATTATGGGGGAAAAAAAGCTTCTATTCAGTTGTAGTGGGAGATGGGTATGGACGGTTGAAATTCAATATTTTCTGCTTGAATTCAGGTTTTAAAGCTTTATTCTAGGAGTTTAAGAATTCATAAAGTTACACTGAAAGGCTGCAATCAAAACACATAGCCAATGTTCATTTTCTACCAGTAGTACACTTTGTAAAGCAACTACTCTTTTCTCAAAATCCCAAAGCACAAAATATTTATCCTTAAATTTTAAGCATATGCTGTCTTCTGAAGCTGTATCAAAAAAGACTAATCATTTTTTCACAAGATTGCTTCTTGAAAATTTGAAATGATACATGTATGAATTTTAAAGTTCTTTACTGCAGCCTAAAAAAACCAAAGGCCCCTACCTTCTTTCCTATATTGGCCACAATATTCTCTATAAATGCTCATATAAGTTTGGCTTCAAATTACATGATACATTACAACTCTGCAAACTATTTAGAATACTTTGGAGTATTATGCTTCTAGGAAGACTAGTCTTGAGATTTTGAGATTGAGGGTTGGGAGAGACAGGTACCTTATATTAGTAGCTAATTTCACATGTCCTATCAATTAAAATCTCTAGGTTTTGTAACATAAGGCACTGATAAGATCTATCTTCAAATTTTAAACCTAAAGACAAAGCTATGAGGGGGCCTGCCCATTAACTCAGGTGCTTAAGTGCCTGCTGAAACAAAGCTGTCAGGTTCAGGATGCTATGGTTCGATCCCCTCATCCTCAAGCCAAACCAGACCTGCCCTGAAGGCATCCTGACCGCCCTCCCCGTCAAAAGACAAAGCTCTGAATTTTATGAAATTAACTTTTTATTCTGAAGACTTTGAAATGTTTTGGAATCTCAATTGATTCATCACCCAGTATGATCCATTTTGAAATATTTCATGTATAAAATTCTTAAACATGCCTTATATGTGAACATTTAAATATGAAATACAGCATGCAATGGTTTAAGAGACAAAGACCTTTGATACATCATAGGAACCTGAATAATCTCTTGATATACTTAATGACTTATAAAAACAATTAAGTTTACTACTTTCATCTTTATTTCTCTATCCTGAGCAGAAACTCTTTACCCATCCATGAAAGTCTACCAAATAAGTTGTAAATGTCAGTTTTTACTATAAAATAATTTTAACATACTCAAGATACTAATTTTTAGTGAGTCAGTCAATTGTCTACTTGTTCAGAAGACAGATGCTCGAGGCATTTTTGATGAAGCATCATTAATGTCACTGTACTCTTCAAATATCTAACCTTTGTTTACTTTATGTAAGAAATGTATTGTGCACCTTAAAATCTATACTGTCTCTCATATTCTATTTTTTATAAGAATGTTTACTTTTGTTTTTAATCTTTTTTTCTAAAATGTTTCCTTTATTTATTTATTTTTATGGTCAGCTCAGCCCACCCTGGGGGCGGGGCTGGCATGGCATGTGGTGCTGGGGATCGAACGGAAGTCCCTGCATGCTTGCCTAAGCTTGCCTAAGCAGGTGCTTTAGACCACTGAGCTATCTTGCCAGCCCGATCTCTCATATTCTAAGAATCACTTAATGTTCCTACAATCATTCTGCAAGTGATTTTAATATCTACGATATGTAACTTTCAGGAATTCAACCAAGGTTGTTTTACTGTTTCATTTGTTCTGTACATCACTATTTTATGTCTGTTTTACACTTAGAAAGGTACAGGGGGGCCTGCTGGTTAGCTCAGATGTTTAAGTGCCTGCTTAAGCAAATGCAGTAAGGCTCAGGATAATGTGGTTCAATCCCCAGATCCTCATGCCTTACCAGACCTGCCCTTAAGGCAACCTGAGCCAGAAAAAAAAAAAAAAGAAAAAAAAAATTGCCTGGCAAGCTCAAGGTCCTGAGTTCAACTCCCAGTACTGAAAAAATGAAAAAAAAAAAAAAAAAAGGAAAAGAAAAGAAAGTTACAAAAGCCTCAGTACATTTTGGTCATTTCTGCTTATTCGGTTAACTTTTTCCTTATAAACAAACACTCTATTCTTATGATCCACATCTACTTACAGGTCTCAGTAACTGAAAACACACAAAAAAAACCCTTAATTATTCTAATATACTGAGACTATAGCTCAGGTTTCATATAAGCATAATACTTATCTTTCTAAAGAAAATCACATCGCATTTGTTACTCATTTTAGCCTAATTCCAAAAATGATTCAATAATTCAATTTTGTTTCTCTTTTTAAGTTTCAATTTTATTGTTATTCCATAAACCAGGACAAAATTCTTGTGTTCTAGTCTTTCTAGTGTTAGTTTATCACTCTTGTTCATTTTTCTTAGCCATGTTTGGTAACACAATAGAAAAATACATGTTTATGGATTTTTCAAATACTAATTTTTCTTCTATCTTCTGACATTTACACCCAGATGATGATGCTGTTTCCTTAGTTTACTAGAAACAAATAATGTAGAACTTTATGGTTATTCTATTAGCCTTCCACATCCACTGCAGAGCTCTAGATTTACAAACACAATTTTTCTACCTATGCCTATCATAATCCAAATCCAACTTGAAAACTGAAACATGAAATAATATATTTTCAAAGATAGACAATGGACTTTTCTTTTTAGCTTTTATATTCCTAAAATAATGCTAATCTGAATTTGAGAATGGAAAATAATGTTTAAATTGCAAAAGATTAAGGCTAGCTATATAATCAGTACCTGTTTAGAATCCTACGTCAATTTAACTAATTTCTAAATTTTGCTAAACTTGATTAACTTCTCTCTTCTTGAAAAAATGTAGGCATACACCTTGACCTTCAAAATGTGTCAATATAGGAAGTTTCAACTATAGTATTTCACATAAGATATAAAATGCTAAGTTGTCAAAAAGGTTTTGGGAGGATTTTGGTGGTACCAGGGATTGAACTCAGGACCCTGCACTTACCAGGCAGGCACTTATGCTGCTGAGCTATATCCCTGGCTCATTACCAAAGTTTTAAATCAGATGATTATATATATTCTATATTTTGGGTAATATTCATCTGCACAATGAATAAAAACTGAACAAAGTCAGGATCACCTTTTATAAAAAGTATCTGAGCTGAACAACAGGTCTGACATACATTGCTTATTTTATGACATACACCATAATGTAAAAAAAGATCATTATTACCTGCTTGTGATAAAATTGTATAGGCAGGGAGGAAAAGGTAGAACAGGAGTTTTTAGGCCACAGTAAGACCCCTAAGTATCACAGAACATAAAATGGAATACTTTAAGAGTTCAATTAAAGTAAAGTACAAAATTATACAAAACAAGAGCACTAAAGTTGTGCTTTTTTATTTTTTGGTTTGAAGGGAAAGGGATAAGAAAGGTGAAAAAAGCGCTACCAGACTCCTTACCCATTGTTGTTGGTGCTGGAGCTTCCTGATGATATTTTCAGCTTGCTCCAGCTTAGCACTGGCCTCATCACTCTGTTGTTTGATGGTGGCCAACTCCCGTTTTACGAGGTAGTTTTCCTCAGCCTCCTGGGCTCTTGTCACTTGTCCCTTAGGACATAATTTTTTTGTGTGCAAAGCAATTTAGGATAGAGTCAAGAAAGACTGACTTTTTAAGGTTTAGTTATTACTTTGCCCCATTACAAAAAAATCACTTCAGAGAATAAAACAGACTAGGTAATTATTAGCTAGCAGTTTGTTATTGCTCCAGTAAATTTTGGGGAAACTAAATGAAAAATCCATCTCAACAATTCTTTCAGTCAATAAAACTTCACTTCATGCAATATTACTGAGTAGTACATGCAGGACTAAAATTTTCAATGATAGTGGTTAATATGACAGAATTCACTGATTGCCATTTTGGAACATATACTGTGAAAAATAATGTTAGCTTTAAAACGTGCAAGAAGGGTCTATCTGAATAAACCAAGATAACACAGTTATCAAAAATTAACCCATGTACCACCCAAAACATCATCTCTAAGAAAATGCATGTAAAGTTGCATGCATTAAAAATGAATTTCTAGGTTTAGGATTTTCCTTAGAATTAAGGTTAGAGAAAAGGCTTAAAAAATTATACCTGTATCAATCTATCTGCCAAGGAAGCACTTTCCTACAAAAGGAAAAATTCAGATAGAAATATAAGAGAAAGGAAATAAAAGTGTGATAAAATAAGGAATAAGAAGAAAAAAATCCAAATTTCACCTAATTTTCATTGCTAATCAAAATGGGCATTTAAATTTTAGAACTAATTTTTTAACTGAATGTGTTTTTATTCTTAAATCTTTAAGAAAAACATTTCAACAAAAATAAACTGAAAATCACATGTTTCTAAAACAGACCAAACCATAAATTTCAAATGGTTTATCTCAAATAAAATAAATTTTAAATATCTACATCTCTTTATGTTCAAAATTAACTGTGTCTAAAGCCATTTCTATGAAAGGAAGAAGAAATCTGAGCAAGCAATTACGTTTATGAAGTATGACAGCAATTAGTACAATAGCAACATCCAAAGAAACAAAGCAAGGAATATATGATGATTGAAATTAATGAGTTTAACTTAGCAAGCCCTAACAAAAGTAAACTTTTTGGTTGCAAAATACAATTAATATTTAAATATTTACAGGATTCTAAATGCTAAGTGACATATGTAGGTCATCTAAAGCAAATTTTTAAAAAATAAAATGTAAACATTTTCCTATAGCATCTTTATGCATCATTCCAATGATTCAATACAAATGCTTTGTGAAAATATTTCAATCAAAAAAATTTTTTAAACTTAAGAAGTTAATGTATTTTAGTACAAACCAGTAATAAGTGGGATAGGGGAAAGAGTATATAAATAATTAAAATGACTTTAAAAACAATTATGCTCAACATTTTTGTGAAGTCACCATATAAACTATCCTTAAAGCAACACTAATGCCATGAGAGACAAGAATATATCCAACTATACAACAAAGACAGGCATAGATGAAATATCCAATCCTTGTGCACTTCTATTTAAATATGAAATCATAAATACTTCAAAAAGGCAAACAGTGCAAACTATCCCTTTTGCCAGTTTTTCTTATCCATAGATGTTCAAAGAAGCCTTTACTATACTTGTCAGTAGCAGGAGGAGGACTGTCAAACCTACTTACTCTCAATTCTAGTTACCTTTCAATAAAGCAAAAGTAGAGACTGGGCATGGTGGTGCGCACCTATAATCCCAGTGCTTGGGAGGCTGAAAATAAGAGGATCACTAGGAGTCCAATCTGTGTGGTGAGACCTTGTAGACCCTGTACTAAATATATTTTAAAAAATAAAATAAAGTAAAAAATAAAGCAATGCAAAAATATGTATTCTTTTCAGACAGGGTCTGGATGCATAATTCAGTTTCGGCTGGCCTCAAACTCATAGCAATTCTCCTGTCAGCCTCTTCTTCAAAGTGCTAGGATGATTACAAGGCTATGTCACCACAGCTGACAAAGCACAATTCTTAAACTGTTTTTATTACTCAACTCACTGCATCAGAAGCAGAATTACAAGAGACATCACATTAAAAGCACAATATGAAAAATAGTTCAAAATGTTCACATTTGCCAGTTATTAGCCAAAATTTTTCTAACCAAAAATTTATGCACAATTTCCTTATGCAGAAAATCCTTTTGAGATTGAATTTTTAGATAAGGAATCAGTCACTTTGACTAAATTCAATCCTAAATTTTAAAGAAATCAATACTACATTTGACATGTGGTTAAGAAGACTATACAACATTTAAAACTCATCTTTAAAAGACATCACAATGTATTCCCATTTAAAAGAATATACTTTGTAGAATTTGTAAGAAATAACATTAAGGTGTTACTCTAATAATAAACCTCAGTTAAAACTTTAACATGAAATCTCACGAGCTAGTACCAATTTTATTAATAGTTATTTAGTAAAGTAATAAACCAGATAAACTTAGCATTCAATAACACAATGATGACACATACATCAATATTTTTGAGGATTTATTTAAAATATATGGTAAAATACTAAGCATTCAATAAATGCTTGCTGTAATGATTTACTTACTTTTTCTAATGTTTCAATGCGTTGTTTTAAAAGTCTATTTTCTGTGCGCAACCTCTGTTAAAAAATTTTTTAAGAAGAATAAAGATTACTACTTCAGTACTATAAATGTTTTCTTTAATACATAAGAAAAGACTAAGGCATGGGTACATTACCATCTGTCAAACTGTTACAGGCTTAGAGTAAGAAATACATAGCAAGAAATCATATTCCTCGTTCCAGCTCTGAATGAATTTTAAACATAACCTACAGAAGAAAACCCCTATCTTTTCCATAGTTACAATACTGTCATAAATGTTTTCATATTCCCGTTAGAAAAGATATCAATTTTCTTATTTCCTACAGAACCTATGTATACAAATATCAGTTGAATAAGAAAATTCAGATAAGCATGTCTAAGGGACAAATATTAAATTAAATGTTAGACTACAGCAATCACCATTTCAAAATTCCTTATATACTATAAATATAAAGAATGCATCATGAATTGTTTTCTACCCAAGAAAATTAAATTACTAGTATTTGCCAGCACTTCCTCCATGACCAAAGTAAAACAAGATATAAAAACAGAACTTTACCAAACTCCTCAATGCCTAACTCATAACATTTGTCAAACTACTATCAACTATTAAGTCCACACCATTTCATGTTGCAATCATCTTTTTATATTTTCCACTAATAAAATTTATTACTAACCTATATAAATTACTTCTTCATTTTCATATCCATTATGTTGTCCTTTCATTCTTTTTTTTTTTTTTTTTGGCAGTACTGGGGATGGAACTCAGGACCCTGCGCTTGCCAGGGAAATGCTTATTCTACTAAGCTATCTCCCCAGCCCCTGTCCTTTCATTCTTACCATTCCTCAAATTGCAAACCCCCTCACCTTTTTGTATCAGTTTGTTCCAAGGCTTTCAACCCAATCTTTTTCCAGTCCTATATTCCAACTTACAAATGTTTTCTTCAGAAAATCTAATCTAAAATAATAATTCAATTTATTATTTTTCTAGTAAACACCTAACTGTAGTTTATATAATACATAAAAGCCCAGGGAAATAAGATTATGAATTATAATATCTTTTTTTAAATTTTGTATTTTAGGGAAGGGCTTATAGGGTGTTTAGGGTCTCACCACTAGATCAGACTCTAGTGATCTGCCTGTTCACAGCCTCCCAAGAGCTGGGATTACAGGCACGCACCTCCATGCCCAGTCTCAATTGCCGTCTCAGCAAACCCCAGGGGTGGGGCCGGGCCTCAAATGGCAGGCCCAGAGATGGAACGCCCAGCCTCTTCGCCTGCTTGCAGGCATTTTAATCCTATTTGGCCAGCCCTTATGAATTATAATATCTTAAGTAAATTATAAATTAGAACAAATCTTGGTTATCAAAAAAATTTGTCGCAAATTGAATTCTTTTTTCTATTCACTAAAATATAGTAAATGATTTGGAATGGGCATTATTTCTGATTTCAGAATATAAAATAACAGTTTAAGAAATAGAAACTATTTCTCATTTCTTGGCTGCACATCTATGTGCAACATAGTAATCTATATAAATTCTCAATTATTCAATACTAGTACAGTCTAGAAAGCTTTAAAAAATTCTAAAATGTTCTCAGTCATTTTATCAATCAATATTAAAACTGTGTCTATCCTAAAATGTTTAGAAAATTAAGTTCAAACCATACAACTGAGTGAATAAAATTACTTAAATAATGCTAAAATTTAGAACTTAAAACATTCACCTGAGCTAAAGGCATGAGGATCTGAAGTTCAAGTCCAGCCTTATTTCAAAAACATAAAAAAATTCACTGGATTTACTTCCCCTACCTACTTAAATGTGAAAACTATTTTACTATAAATAAAACTCTAAACTGTAATTTCCCCCAATACTGAATGTCTTAACACCACTTCTTAAGGTTTTTATTTAATTTCCTTTTTAATAGTAGTGTCAATCAAAGCCTTGCATATTCACAGACCTTAACACCAGTCTTAAATTGTTTTATCGCCATTTGTGTGGTATCTACTTCATGCTGAGCTGATAAAAGACTTCCACTGGGCACAGTGGTATAAGCTTGTAATCTCAGCACTTGGGAGGCTAAAACAGGAGGATCACTGTGAGTTGGAGGCCAACCTAGGCTACAGAAGCAAGTTTAAGGCTAGCCTGCACTACACATAGTAAGACCCTGTTTCAATGCTCCCAACCCCCCAAAAAAACTCTCTTCAGCTAATACAGACCATTTCAGAGTTACCTTTACAAGTTAATGTCTTTTCTTTTGCTCTAATACAGTATTTTAATAACAATTAGAGCTTTGCAATCCTTTTGAAGATCTGGTAGAGATAATTTCCCCCATTCTTATTTTGTATGTCCTCCTCAAAACCCAGCTATTACTATATGGTACTAAAGTAATTAAAAGCTACTTGAAATTAGGCAGATTTAGATTTAAATCTTCATTCTCTAATATTTGTGCACAGCATTGAATGCCTTCTGGAAAACTAAAGTAATAAAACCTACAATGATATTAGAACATTTGAATGAGCACAGCAACTAACATTCACCAAATACTGATCTAATAATAAGCACAACTAATGATATTTTTGAAGTTCTGTATAAGTGTGACTATAATACATTTTATCTATTATTTAGTGTTTTTCTTTGCAATTTTTTTTAAACTGCTCAGAATTTTACAAGGAATTAAATTAAACTGGATTTACTACTTGTTATTTTGATGTGACAATCACATTTTTGTATAACAAGATTATTCTGTCTCTCCCCCTATGCATCATTTCAATGTGTCTACATGTAATTCTGGGTGTGGTGATTCATGCCTGTAATGCCAGCTCACAGGAAGCTAAGGGAGGATGATTTCCATGAGACTAAGTCCAGCCTGAACTGAACAGCAAGACTTGGGGGTGGGGGCTTTTATTGTTAGTTTACATCCTACTTTTCATCTAGGTCATTCTCAGAAATGCTTTTGTGGGGGCAGGGGGATAAGCACTTGCCTGGTAAGTGCAAGGTCCTAAATTCAATCCCTGGTACGACAAAAAATAAAATTAAATTAAATTAAATGTTAAAAAAAGAAATGCTTTTGTTTCTACTGTGTATGGGACTTATTTTTCCAAAATATTTTGAGGTGAATATTTAGGATGTTAGTAATTAAAATTTACAACTTCATTGATTTATTATTAGTCATCCTCATATTTTCTGGCAATATTTTACAAGATAAAAAGTATTAAGAGAATAATTACTAAATATAGTTATCTAAAAATGTGTATCTTGTATTTATACAAAAAAAAAAAAAAAACTTTTTTGGCCTACCAGATTAAAAAAAAAAAAAAAGAGACAAAGAAGGCAAAAACAAATGCTGGCAAAGTAGGCATGATGTGGTAACTCATTGCTAAAAAGAACATATCCTAGAAACACTGCTTAGGAAATTGATTTAGTATATCTCAAAAAGTCTGAAAAAATGTTAATATAATTTATAATTCTACTTCTTGTAGCTGGCTAAGGAAATACTGGTTGGGGCCAAAAACTATATACAAAGATGCTATTAAGAACATATCCTAGAAACACTGCTTAGGAAATTGATTTAGTATATCTCAAAAAGTCTTAAAAAATGTTAATATAATTTAAAATATAAAATAGCAATAAAGTTAAATGCAAAATTTGTATATTATGAAAATGAATAACTAATTCTACCAGTTGCCAGAATTGTGAATTTTCTATCACACAAAGCTTGCTAAATGACATCATATGTATTTAGATAGTATTTTTTTTTTTTTGTGGAACCAGGGATTGAACTCAGGCCCTTGCACTTGCCAGGGAAGTGGTTATTTTACTGAGCCATTTCCCCGGCTCCTTAGGTAGTATTTTAAAACCTTCAGTAAAAACCACTTGTACACAGATCATAAATAAGAAGCAAGCAAATTAATTGATGTCACATTTTTAAAAAATATACATACATGCCCAAAACTATGGCACATGACACTTTTATATAATGTTTCCTATCTCTAAATTAGAGAACGTGCAAAAGTAAGATTCTCATTTTAATATTTTGATTTGAACACATCTATAATCAAATTTATAATAACTTGGTAATGGATTTATAAAAGCTTTTAGTGATCAAGGCTAATAAACTACATGTATAAATAAAACATTAAACTAAAAAATATATCCAAAGTTTATAAATATAGTAAGTAACACATAAAACACAAAAAATCAGAATTAACAAAAGAATACTGGTCAAAATTTATCATAGATCTAGCAAAAATAAATATATTAATATTACTAAAGCATAACCTAGGGTACATATGTAATGACTGGTACTCAGTACTTTAAAGTTAGTCCTATACTTTTTGTATAGAAACCTATGTTGGAAGATAGCTGGAGCACTGTTCTGTTACCTAAGCAAGCCAGCTCAGAAGTTTAGGAAAGGCTGCTGCTATGCTTGGTTTTCTTACACTAACCAGGAAAAACTGCTAGTTTCATGCCACAGTCAATGCCTCTGGAGAAAGGGGAAAGGCAGTGTTAAAAGTTTATTCACAACTGTAGTCCTAGGAATCTGAATGAGAGAAATGAAAACCTAGCTTCACACAGACTTAATGTGAGTATTTATAGCAGCACTGCTCAACACCAGAAAAGTGTAAACAACCCACTGCTCCATCTACTGGTGAATGGATGAACATGCGGTATAGCCAGAAAATGAAATGCTACTTAGCAATAAAAAATAGACCCCTTCAACAGCCTACAATATGAATGAACCTCAAAAACAATATGAAAACTACACACTACATAATTCCACTTACATGAAATGTACAGAAAGACAATATTTCAGTACATAAAGTAAGAGCTGCGTAGCAAGACCCTGTACCAAATAAATAAAGATTAAAAAGAAAAAAAAAAA